ACTACTACTACTACGACGACGACTACGACGACGACGACGACGAGGACTGCAACTGCTACTGCCGCTGCCACTACTACTACTACTGCTACTACTACTACTACTACTACTACTACTACTACTACTACTACTGACTGCTACTACCGACTATAATTATTAACTAATTACTGATTACCAACTACTGACTACTGACTGCTGACTGACTACTCACTGCTAACTACAAACTGCTCACTACTAAGCTCCATTATTTAACGAATTATTCAACTACAAGCCCTTACCAATCAAGTCAAGCAGCTAGTCACAGTGGGGTTATGCTATTCCCTGAGTTGTTTTACCCAAAGTCCCCTGGTCTGCTATTTGAAGGTTGACCGAGTCAGAGCCGAAGCCGCGATTTGCGAAGCAACTCAACTCGGACGAGGCCTCATCCCGCCTGGCCGTATGTTTTATATTTATGGGCAGAAGCGCACGGCAACTGAAAGTAAAGAGAGCGAGATAGGTGTGTGTGTGTGTACATATGTAATACGTACCCTTCATCACTAATGCCGTCCAAGTTTGGCTTTGCAACAGTGTCCAGGGTCGCATTGGCCAACCATCGCAAGAAAGAATGAGAAACAGTTTACTTTAAATCTGAGGGAAGGGTTGGGAGGGGCTTCGGCATCAACTGTTCCTTGGCTTTTGGCTTCGCCCTTGGCGCTTCGATTGGAGTAGCAAGGGCCGGCCCAACTCTGTCTCCAAGGTCCCTAGACTTTTGTTCTTTCGCAGTGGGCAAACCCTCAACCCACGTTTACCCAACCCCATCTAAGAGATCCGCCAGACTATTCCGGCTCCATCGCGCATGCCTCGTGCTCGCGTATGGAAGACGATGAGCACATTCGGAGGGAGATTGGTGCCAAGATCTGTGAGGTTGATTATGCCATCGAGGCAGGCCTTGGGGGCTTCGTGGCTAACCCTGAGAGTCAGCAGGCCCTGCTGAGTAGCACTAAGACAGGTCACAGACCCCCATATACCTCCAAACCCAAGCGTTTACTTGCCAAAACCAAACCTTCACTTCCGACGAACATGCCTGCGGGTCATGGTTATTTGTTTTCCCTGACAGGTACTCATGGCTGCTGGAATATCGACTCCATCCTTGCGTGAGATCGCGCACCAAGGCGTCAACATCACGGGAGCAGCCCACTCAGAGGTCACAATGCCTCTTCTTTTCCTGGTGCCTTTGAACTTTATCGGCGCAGTGAAGTTTTTCTTCAATGTCTGCTACCTCAACGCGGGGTGGGTCATCATACCTTGCATGGAAGCGCTGACTGTCCTGCTGCGGATACACCTCCTCTTCTTGCTAAGCTGGAGTCCTCCAGACGTCCTTGGAGACAGCGTTTTGAACGCTTTGTTGGTTGATCATTAAGTAGTGCACAGCACGAAGATGAGAAAACTGAAGGATTCTGTTCGAAGCCACAGCACGATGAGGAGAAATGTTTCATCCTTCTGGTCGTGACCAAGCTGTCGGTTCTGTATCTCGTATTTATGCTGCCGGAGGCCCTCTTCGATCGCATGGTCCGTTGACGATTAGTACTATCATTTGCCAGGGATCGGGCTCATTGAGCTTATGACAAACAGTAGAATGCCACACGGAATTTCGGAGCCCGTGCCGCCGGATGCTGCTGGTTCGATGTAGGATGTGGGCAACCCAAAATCTCAAATCTTTTGCGGTGTCGGCGCGCCTGTCCAAATTCAAATCCTTAAAGCAGCTTTGAACAAATCTCGTCTTTGGCCTTACCCGGACAGATCATCATCTGGGAGAGTTCTGCGATCGCGCACGTTGCTGTCAACGCCTGGTGCCACGGCTTGATGAGGGTGCTTCAAGATTTTAATTGGTCCGAATTGGTCCTCAACCAAAAACCAGGTTATGGGCCACATGCTAAAACGCTTGAAACTAGATTTCCTTACCTGAATATGTTCAAGTTACAATCCGCGGAGCTCCGCAGATGTTCTACAACTAGAAGCCTGAGCCTGACCTCAACTCACTGAGGCAGGAGGTTGGCAACGGCAACGCACACTGTTCAACACCATTGCCAAATTTCCGAGGTTTGCCGCCTCATGTCGACTCCTCTGCTGCCTATCGGCAGAAGGATTCGCGCTGCTGGGAATCCGCCGCACCGCGACGCGTAGGTTGGGGATGATGCAAACTTCATCTTTCATTTTGGGACGAGGTGCTGGCTGACATGAAGTCAAGCCCTAAACTCTGAGCAAAAACTGCCGTGTAGTATCGCTACATGTTACTGTATGTACGCACTTCTCCTCGGGCAGTGTAGCATGATCGGGCATGGTTGCTCCTATTGGCGTATGTTAGTGTGAATGCATGTGTTGATCTCTGCTATCTCTTGCCGGACTGGTCACTGCGCCTACTCCCAATCCGAGACGGTGAGGTTATAGGATGACTCCATGTAACCCTATAGTACCCTCTAGAGCACACAAAACCTCTGCCGAGGTACGGCCAAGCTCCCCTGTGGCCACCACATCCTTCGGCTCTTCTTTGCGCGAAGCTTCCGTGGCTATGTTTCAGCATGCGCTCGAAACGGCGGCTCGACGGCTAGAGCTATCACAACAGGGCTGAGCAAGTTACAAGCTAGAGATGTTTCGGGCGGGATGTGTCGGCACAATCAGTTCCTGGTTCATGAAACTTGGAGAGGTGTGGCTTGTATCTTCTTTTGACTCTGACTGTGAAGCAAACCCGAGGCCTGTTCTGAGTTTGGCCCTCTCATGTGAGACAAAGCCTACTCGTTCAATAGAGGTCCGACAACAAGACTTCGTAGTTTCGAACGTGTAACGGCGGTACTTTTCGCATGCCTGGAACTGCCGTTGCTCCGAGTTCCTAAGGCACAGTGGAATTCCCGGTTAGTATACCTCTTCTCTTGAGCTGGCTGCTCAAAACTGGCGGAAGAGCCCAAAACCCTAAGCCCTCAACCTCGACCTCTTTTGTCGTAATCTCCGGCCGGAGCAGGTGAGGAGCTACTGGAGTGCCGCCGAAGTGTCGCTTCGCGATGCGCCGAACCTCCGTCGTGAGGATCAGACGGGTATGTAGTAGTATACTGGTTACCCGAAAGTCATACAAGTATAAGACACAATGCCCATCTTCCTTTTGCACATGCTACTAGCAGAATGTTTGTCTGCTGTCGACGGGAACACTTCGATATGGAGTTGCTGCCACTCATACCGATGCTGCTGATTGACAGGTGGCATTCGATGATGCCGACAATGCTGGGTGAAAGGCATTCGGTTGAGGTCTGACGTCGATGATGCCGATGAAGCTGTCTGCTGCCACTAGCAATGATGGTGGTTGTTTGGTGCCTTTTGTGGGCATTCGAGAGTGGCCTGGTGCCTATGATGCCGATGATGCCGGGTTTAAACGATCCTGCTGCAGGCTTTCGATAGAGGTGTCACCGGGAGGACTTCGACGATAAACTGATGCCGATAATGCTGGTTGAGAGGTGCTCGCTGCAGGCATTGGATGCGGGCCTGGCGTCCAAGATGCCGATGATGCTGGGTTGGAGGTCTTCGGTAGAGAAGCGCTTCCAACAGATGCCAATGATGCTGGGTGAAAGGTGCTTGCTGCAGGCATCCGATGCAGGCCTGACGCGAATGATGCCGATGATGCCGTGTTGGAAGGACAGCCGGAGGACGACAAGGGAGAACCACTGCTGATGCCGATGTGCTGGTTGAAAGGCGCCTACTGGAAGCATTCGATGGACACCTAAGGCCAATGCTTTCGATGATGGGAGGACTTCGATGGAGAAGTGTTGCCCCTAATGTCGTTTATGCCGGTCGAAAGGTGCTTGCTACAGGCATTTGATGGTGGTCTGGCCATGATGCCGATGTTGCTGGGTTTGAGGTCTCCACTGGGTGGAGTCTATCTAGAACTCTCGCGACCGATGCCGATGATGCTGGTTGAAAGGTGTGTCTTGCAGAGCAGACATCATTTGATGGAGGCCTAAAGCCACTGATGCCGATGATGCATGGGTTGGAGGTCCTAAAGTCTAGACCCTCCTGGGCTCAAGCCCAGGCCCAGACTATCCTTGCCTTAACCTTAACAAGCTCCAAGGAGACGGATTCCAGCGAAGAGTCATCCACAGAAAGTGAGAAGTTGTGCTGAGCTCGGTAAGGCGAAAGCAAGGTGAGCGGCAAAGCTCAGAGATCTTGACTATCTCTCACGTGCCCTACCTGTAGACGGCGGATCGTCTTGTGAATACAACCGCTGGTAAAACTACAGCGTCAGCACCGCTGCAACAATTTAGCAGCTTTCACAGTCTCGTGATGCCGGGCTTTAATGCAGGCACTCGTTAGATGTACAGGACGTTTGGGTTCGTGCGCGAAGACGCATGCGACTAGTCTCTTGTTGGGGGAATTGCAGGCCCGCAAGCTCGAGATGTTCGGAGGTTAAAAATGTAGCTTCAAAAATGCAGAGCCAACTTACAGGCGGGATGTCTCAATTTCTCGGGAGACCATCCAACGACCGCAGAGATGGGACAGCAAGAAGCCACAAACAAAGCATTGCTTTCTCTGTGTCTGTGGCTTCAGGGGTTGTAGAAGGGCCAAGCATGTCCATCTTCGGCCCCTTTGCGCTGACACAAGTGGGAGTTCCATCCGAAGCTGCTAGGGCCGCTAGGGCTGACAGGGACTCGAGAGCTGGAGATGCTGAATCGGCAATTGCGGATAGCAGCAGGAGCTTTTAGCGCGAGCTTTCTAATTTTCGGTCACACCAGACTTGATGGTCACATATGATTCATGGGTCATGGCTTTCCGTTTAAAGACCTTTGAGGATTCGCAAGCAGACTTGCAAGCAGAATTCAAAGTAGGGTCGAGGGCTGAGGCTTGTTGTAGGGCTGCGGTGGACGCCAAGGTAAAGACTGGGCCTTGGCTGTGGTTCTGTGGCTCAGCAGCAATTGGGAGCGAGTTTTTGCTGGACGGCTTCTGGCCTACCACTACGTACTGCATCCTCTAACAGCAGCGTCACGAACTGGTATCAGATTTTCTGATCAGGCTTCCAAAGATGCGTGCTGAGTGCGTGGAAGGTTCGTAGCATGCCTGTCGTAACCTTTCACTTTCACAACAGCTCGATCGCACGTATCTATGCCTTTCCTGTGCCACTATCCTGCAGGCCTTTGGGGGCCAGGGCTACTTGTGTCACCGAATGCGGCACTCTTGCCTACGGTTCGGTGCCCTTACACAAATACGTATCAGTTCCGACAACGGATTTTGTCCTGGGGGTTCTTGCCACGACCCTTGACCCTTCAACCCCCAGGTGGTATCGGCCAGTACAAAGCCCTAGGCTTCAGACCCCCCAATACTGTCCAAGGTGGTTCTGTGCCTTTGCGCAGTACCAGCCCGGTTCTGAGCCTGGGGACTGCGGTGCCTCGGCTGGGAATGGACCCGTCAGGTCATCACTGCACGATGCTGTTGCTGATGCCGTTGCTGTTGCTGCTGCTGTTGCTGTTGCTGCTGTTGACATGTGGCTGATTTATTTAACATGTCCAATTTGGTCTTACCCTGCTACGCTTCCTCCCTATGGTTGTTCTTTGCTTTGATGGTCGTTGTTGCATCTTTTTTTGGCTGCTGCTCTTGATCGCCTGGATGGTTTGCATGTTGTGGCCGGGTTGTGTTTAGGACTTGCTGAAGACGATGCAGGTGTAGGTGGTGTTGCTGCTCTGTTTTTCGAGTTTGTGTAAGATTTATGCTGCTTTTTGATGCTGGTGATGCACAACGGGGTTTCTGCTGATGGTGGTGGTCACGGTGCATTGCTTCTTGATAGCATCGTGTGTGCATGTATCGTTCTGATGAATTTTCGTGGACTGCGTATCTGGTTGCTGTGTCAAGCAGCCAAGCATCGATTCGGGGTTGGTGGTTCGGCTGCTTAGAATAGATAGGCATCGTCAGCGTTCTCCGCACCAGGGTCCTGGATGTTTTGAACTCTTGAACTCCACGACTTTTCAAGCCGAGCAACGCCAAGTATGAGGCCCGACAGTGTCCACACAACTGGCCACCGACCCCTTCGGTTCCGTCATCCGAGCAGCGTCTTTGCAGAATTATGCGCGGTCTTTGTTTTGGTCACGAGTCCTTCCGGGTACTATAGTGACTACCTGAAGTCATTTCAAGTCAGTTCAGGACAAAGAGAAACGGCTTTATCTGACGTCTGACGGTCTGCGTTTGGGCTCGGCTCCGCAGGAAAGCTGGGGCCTTGTGCCGTTACTAACTGGACCCACGGAGCAACCACAGGTGTGGGTGACGAACCGTATCCGTATACCCGAGAATAGACCACCCTCCAATGATAAAAGCCGCTATATCACTCGAACTTGAGTGGCTCAGGGGGCATGCCAACCAACAGTCCGGTGCGAACTTGGACATGAGAGGTCTTCGAAGTCCGCATATCTCTAGGCTTGAAGGGAGTTGCTGTGATGTTGCTATGCTGAGTCCCGAGCTCAAAGCCCTCACCCTTTGACCGGCTTTACAGACGACCAAGGTGTGTCGCGGCTTGGGTACCAAAGCTGCAAGTGTGCGCTCTGCATGCCCGAACATCATTGCAAGAAGCCTCAGTTTTTCCATGTGTTCAACATGGCTACGGCTCGAGTCTGTCTGTCGCAAGTCAGGACTTCCCATTCAACAAAAGCGGCCTAGGCCTTGCAAGGTGAGCACATGGCTTCGATGTACAGTCCTGCGCAGCTGATGGCGGCGGCCGGAGTCCAACCAAGCCAGCCAGGCTATCCTAGTAGAGTCGTTTATTCCGGAACAGTTCCTGCATCACATGGTACACTTCTGGCTGGAAGCCCACCTTTAGGCCACATCGCACAGAGCCAGAGCCTGCTTCGGTCTCAGAAGTTTCAGCCGTACAGCACTCAACCGGGTCCGATCGCCTACAGCACACCTCGGACAGTGTGGCCTGCCACTGGCAATGTCGTTCAAGGTTTCAGCCGCCAGACCACCCCAAATTCAACCCCCGTCTCAGTGCGGCAGGTGGTCCCTGCTGCTCCCCAAATCTACCGCTACGCATCCTTCACAGCTCCAGCTCAACCCCAGGCTCCAGCTCAACCCCAGGCAAGGCCATCGGTTGTGCAAGCTGGCCCCCAAGCCACGATTCAGACCCAGCCACGGCCATCCGTAGTTCAGAACGGTCATGTGGTCCGGACCGTGCCCAAGCAAGCGGAGCCAAAGCCCGCGAAGGAAGAGAGCTGGCAATGGATCCTCACGATTGCCAGGCCGGATGCCCCAAAAGCGGGGCCAACCGAGGAAGAAGTGAAAGAGGACAGCGAGTGGATTGTCAATCTCACACGACCGGCTGGTGCTGTGATTGCGGCCCATTAAAGGCCGAGTTATCCATGATGCAGGCTTGCCGCTTGCCAGCTCCACTGGCAGAAACAGTTTTCCGGAGCAGAACGTGGCTGAGGGATGACCCTTTTAAGTCTAATCCTTTCTAAGCATGCGGGACAGCATGATTTGTGAGCTGCAAGCGCGAACTTTCAGCAAGGATACCCGTCAGTTCCGACGGCCTTGGCGGAAAAAGGCAAAGACGTCGAAGTCATGCTGGCACCCGCAAATTCACATAGTAGGCGAAGACCTGGACAGTCCTAGCGTGAGCACCGAAGCACGAGAGCCACAGCTACATTGGGTGATAGTCTAAGTGGAACCTTGTTCCGTATCTTTGTTTGTCCGAGTAGCTATAAGCAGGGCCGCAGACGAGCTTTGTGTGACAATTTGTGTGAGATGTCTGTTAATATAAGACAAGTATAGACGATCATTGTGATAGTGCAGATGCCTCAACTGGTAGAATTAATGCCCTTGTCGGGTCTAGGGCGTCCAGAGTGTGCTTTCAGATGTGGCAGCTTCTCGCTCATGCCGCAAGTGCACATGTTTGACCCTCCCTTGAAAAGCTCGGGAGCGTGATTTTCGTATGTGACGCCGTTTGAATGGCTGCCGCAGTTGTTTTTTTGTTTAGGTGGAGGATGACCAGTGCTTTGTGCGAAAATCAAGACGGCATTTGTCACACCGCAAGAGGTGGAGAGTGCTGCTTTCCTGAAGAAGCTCTGCATTTAGGCTTGCACGCCGGGCTTTCAACATATGCAGCCTAAGGTATGGTTGTGGTTCAAACCTCCACAGCCGATGTCTACTCCCGCTTGAGCCGCGGCTGGCATCAGATCACGGCTTCTGGAGTTGTCTGCTCTTGAGGGTTTGAGGTTTCCTGCTTCGGGCCAGGTCTTCGATTAGAGCTACTCTTATGCCAGTTGGAGAAGTCATTCATCGTGATCGTTTGAGCCCAGCTCATTCTGAAACCTTGTGGCCCAATTGCTTGACAACCATCAAGTAGTAAGGGCAACATCAGTCACAACATGCAACTTCCATGGGCCTTGTATGAACGCATCCGATTGTCGGATACGTTTTGATTAAGACGCTGCAAGTCACAAGACAGTGTGTCATGTTTTCGTATACTGATCATGACCTGGCGGCATTTCAAGTTTTACAGAGTTGTTGACGGTAGAGAAACCTACGTCCACGTAGGTGTACCTATCTACGTGCCTGCCTGCCTACCTACAGTACCTACCTACAGTACCTACCTACCTGCCTGCCTGCCTGCCTACCTACCTACCTACCTACTTACCTGCCTGATGTGTTTTTGATATGTTAGGCAATCTATTGGCAGGATGCTGCTGTCTCCAACAATCAACCAATCAAGCAAGCAAGCAATCAACAAACCAAGCAGTCAGTCAGTCAATCAATCTGTCTATGCGCCTCCTCTCTGTCCATCTTCTGTCTGTCTACCTGTCTTTCCGTCCGTCTGTCTGCGTGTCTGTCTGTCTATCAAGCTGTCTGTCGATCTATCTACCTATCTATCTAGCTAGCTATCTGTCTATCCATCCATCCATCTATCTATCCAGCTAGCTATCTAGCTAGCTATCCATCTAGCTACCCATCTACAGCATCGCACAGTGCGTGAAAGATGAGGTGGTGCGTCTATGAGATCGCCGAAGCTGTGGTCTCGGAGGCTCCGGAGCTATCGGTTTCGGGCTTCCCTTCCGTTTTTGGAATGGAACACTGCTGTGGGACGGAAGGGTTTAGGGCTGTGGTAGGGCTTGAGTGTTGAAGTGACAACTCGAACTTCTCTGCTGTCACTCTTGGCAGAAGGTCCTTTGCGAGTCAGGGTCGGTTGTAGGTCACGCTTAAGTTGGTGAGGGCTGGAATCCTAAACCTCAAGCCCGACACCTGATACACCCCAAAGCCGTAATCAAGCCCAGTGTTCTTCGTGAAGAAATTGCGCCTTGCACCCACGGGCTGGGAATATGCCTTGAAAGTCTGAACCAGCTCGCTGCACGTCGGACTTGAACTCTCGGAGCTGAGTCCAAGGATCCAAGGTTTTTCTTCAGGTCTTTCTGAAGAACGCCTAAGATGGCTTCGAGTTTCCGAAAAGCCTCGCCCAGCTGTCCCGCGGGTGGTACGGGTAGACCATCATCAAGCAGAAGAACGAGCTACATTCTTGTGAGGGTAGATCGAACAGGAAATCCCAAGCGAATCTCACCAGACGCAGCAAGATCCCTCGTGCTTGTTCTGGCAGGCTCCTGTGGCCATGGCTTTCTCTGAGGCACAAGCATCCAAGGTCTTGTCTTAAGTCAAAGGCCTGTCGTCTTCGCGAGTTAAATCTTCTCAGAGATAGATGACTATCATTCTATTCAGTGGCATGCAGTGTGCCAGGACCATCGTCAAGACTATGGCGAAATTGTAGGTTGTGTATGTCCAGTGCTCCTTGACACCTTTCCCGTTTGGGCCAGAGTCAGCAGCACTTCTCGGCCTGTGTTCGGTGCAGCAGCTGTCGGGGGCACATAGGGTTTCTGAAGTGGACGCGCTGGAAATCGCAAGGCTGGAGCCCGACGACGGTATCACTGAATCCTAAGAGTCCTCCCTTGCAAAAAGGACAGTTTCTCATCGGACGGGACTTTGCATGGGTGGAGACGTGAAATCCTTCTGATACAGGCCCAGTCAGCCCTAAACATTCAGAAAGTAAATAGCTGAGAACCTGGCTGGTGTGACACCCCAGTCCCCTACCAGATTCTGCAACCCATCCCTTCGTAATCAACTTCCCAAAGCACCGTCCTCAAACCATCCAGAAGGTCCAGAAAAAATGCGTGTCATAATAATCCACAGTTCATGGCACAAAAGGCTTTAAGCACGTGCAGGAACCCTCAGCCCGTTTGGGATTGACTTTCATACGCGCCCAGTGGAGGCCTCTTTGGAGTCTGCTACCGGGGCCTTCGAGGCACTCTTACGGGCCAGGACGAGGGACTCGAGCTATTCAGGCTTTGGGCCCGCTAAAAAAGAAGGCCTTCATGAGTAGAATTCATCAGAGTAGGTTTGGGTCTATATCACATTGCACATAAACATATAGTGACCTTTTAGAAGGATCACGGTTAACGATTCCGGACCTTTTTCTCGGGGGCTTAGGGCTCCTGAAGCAAATTTCAAAAGGGTCTCTGCTCCTTTACAAGGATTGGACATTGTCCACGCTTTCACGAAGGCGTCGCGCGCATGTTGCCTTCGCTAGTTTGGCAAGCCTCCGGAAGGGTCGGTGAACGAGCTTGCATTCCGTTTGCACTTCATTGCCGCGACTGGGCCGTCTGTCTGCTTCTTCTGATGATGCGTGTTATTCGGGCCCCTACTGTATGTGCTTTCCAGTCAAAAATGTAGTCATTCGTTCCCAGTACTGCTGTTGCTGTTGCTTAACCCTAGACCTAGATCTTGGGCTGCTCACGTCTGCCGAAGTTGGAAAGAACCTACGCTTGCGTGCGTGAACTCCGCCCAAGCAGAAATCACGCATCAAAGCGGCAACCCCGGACCTTGAAACATCGAGCCCCTAAGAATCTGAGGGCTCTATTCCGTCTATTCCTAGTAACTTCACTGGGGAGGACCGCCAAAGCGAAGTGTCGGGATGCTGCAGACGAGCAGATGATCAGAGAAAAGGTGAAGTTGCCACGTCCTCAGGCGGAGGGTTTGAGTTTCTTCTAGGACCCTGCAGCAACTGATTCGGTTCCGCGGTGGTCTGGGATAGCCTGATTCCTTCGGTCATGTCTTATATCGCTTTACCCTGGTGATGCGTGCTATTGGGCTCAGCACTCGATCCTCCCCCAACCCTACACCCCCGTGCCAACCGCGCATTTAGTGGGTTGGTTGATGGTGCACCTAACTGAGACCTAGCAGTCAGTCCGGTGCGGAAGCAATTCTCATCTACTGCTTACCTTGCAGGATTTCAATGCAATCTCTGTTTTAAAAGGTTTTTGCAACACGTTGGTGGTTTTGATGAAGACAGACTTCTCCAGGTCCGGCGGCTTCAAGCGGCTAGATTCCGTGATCTTTACCTTCAGGCTGCAAGCTTTCCAAGAGCCGCTTGGACGAGTTTTTCGGGGCTCCCGAGGCCTAAAGCTTCATTGTCTAGGGCTTCGGGCTTGGAGTTTAGACCCAAAGCCTCATATAGAAACACATAGATATATGTGAATTATATGTTTATATACATACATACATACATACATACATACATACATACATACATACATGTACATACGCACATGATGCAGGGCTGCTGCCCTCTGCCTCCCCCACCTCCCCCATGGTATCTTTTGCAGGCAGGTCGGTTGGTCTTCTTGTTTGGCCTTGTCCCCTCTTCCACCGGTTCTGTGGGGGGTGGTCCTTTTGTTTGGCCTTGTCCCGTCCTCCTTGTCCCGTCCCCGGACCCCCCCTATGGGGTGCGGTCGGCAGCATGTGGTAGTCTTGGTTGGCCCCGCCCTGGCTGTCGCCGCGTTGTCTTGCGAGGGTTCTTGGCCTCTCGGCTTCTTGGTCTCCCCCATGCCGCAATGCTGCGCGGGGCCGCTGAGCAATTGGCAGATTAGGGCAGGGTCAGGGTGGCAGTGTGTGTGAGTGTTCTGCAGAGGTGTGGTTGCAGCCGTTTGTTATTGTTAGTAGTGCGATACTGGAGGTTGTGATGTTCTGGCTGTCGCGCGGATCATGGCATTGACACCCGTCACCTCCCTCGTCCCCCGTAAGTGTGGTTTGTGTGGTTGGTTCTGTTCCGGATGGCGGTAACGATCCCATCTTCCGAAAAGGACGACTGTCACGATATCCCATGCAAGATCTAAAATGCCCTCTCCGCTTGGCTCTAGGTCGCGAGTCACGTGCACTACATTGCGCTGCCACGCCAATGCAAATTCGATACGCATCAAGGAACATGTCGCCACGGAAGCATTCCTGAAGGCAGAAAAATCGGTAGAAACGTCAAGTTCCCGGCCAGGTACAATTGCATGGTTGTTCAGTTGTTCAACCCGGAT